AGTCATCGATGACTGTGCACGTAGTCAAATGGTCAGCCTTTATCCAATAGACTCAAACAGTGTCAATATTGCACCAATATTGTTGGTGGTGGTTTCGTTCGTGTATGTGCGTTGAGTGGGAAACGGCGTATTTGCTATGGCTGCCCTGCACGTTCGTGTTCAGGCACGGTGATGTTCGCAGTCTTTTGTAGCATAGTCTACAGCAGTACACGACGAGAGCGGTGAGGCAGCTGTTGTTTTCAGCCAACACCAAACAGAAGGGGGTCGGTGAAGCAATGGCTTGAAAAACTATGGGTACCAAACAGCCGCTGCTGTACATGCCTAGATATCAGATCCCAGTTGAGGCGAGCGGGTCTGTCTGTGACGGCGAGCTGCAGTAAAATATGTTGGTTTTAGCTATACTATGTGCTTGGTTTCGACCCAGGTTTGCGGACTACTGTAGACTGTTCGGACGCAGCAGCCACAAGCACTGCTATAATACAAAGCTGCAGCCGCCACACTCTCAATAATTCAGCCCATCAAGAGCGCTCTCAGATCGATCGCGCCAGCAGACGCGTCAAAGCTTGTCGTCTGTTGCAGTGTTACAGGAAAAATACAACGCGTAGAAGTTATCAGGAACTGACTGTAAATGTAACATTTAAGATGGACCCGCGAACACCACATCGGTACGTCAGCACATAGCAGTGCTGTGTTTGTTGTTTTGGGCACCAGTTCCTGCATACAGACCTTCCGTTGCGGAATATGGAACGGGCCCATTGCTGGGCACTTGTCATTGGGCACCTGTCAGTCCATGTACACCTTCCGTTGCGGCATATAGAACGAGTCCGGCGATAAGAAACGTTATATTCGAGCCGAACCTCCGGTCCTTTTTTTCGGTCGAACGACCAGCCGAAGTTCCATTTCACATGACTACTGCTGTAGGTTTCTTAATTGTGGGACTGTCGTATGCTGGCGATAAGAATGCAGTCGACCCCGCTTTAAGGACGCACATGTATTTTTCTGAGAAAAAGCGTACTTAAAGCGGGGTTGCGTCCTTAAAATTCAGGGCACGATAGCTCACCATCCCTGGGGGCAATGGAGGCATGCTATTATACCTCAAACTACGCGTCTTTTGATAAGGAAGGGGGTGGTACTAAGAGTCAGCATCGCCGAGACGACTGGCAACCGTTTCTTGACGTCGAACATATTTACTTTACTTGAAATGAGATGTACAGCAGTCAGGGACGTGTTGAAAACAACTATAATACAGTTGCGAAGGTGTACCGATTCAGGTAAAAGTCAATCGACGGATACCCTGCAAATCGGGTCCTCCTTGACACTCTCCACCCACAGAATTTACCCTCAACTGGGAACCTCTTGTGGCCAGGATGGGTAATTCGATGGAAGTGTCACAAGGTCTCTCTGTAGGATCGACTCCAAGAGGTGTTCTCAGGACTGACAAACATTGTGCCCTTGGGAAGATATCCAAGTCAGGAGATAAAGTGTGCACCCAAGGAGATTCGAACCAGTATCCAGCTGACGCCACATGCGAAGGTGTACCGATCCAGGTAAAAGTCAATCGACGGATATCCTGCGAATTGGGTTCTCCTTAACACAGTACACCAGTTTGTAGTTGGCCACCTAATGTGCTTCATAGCCGGCAGCGGAAGGAGGAAAGTCCAAGTAGAAATATATTTATCTCATTCTTGTGAAACACCAAAAATAACGAGCGTATTTCACCGTCGCACCGAGGAACACCAGACCACATCACTGTCCCGGCGGAGACCAACAGCTACCCTGATGTTTTTTCCTTCCACATATCGCGAAGAGTTCCCTGAACCGCCCCCCCGCGGACTGGCTCTACGGCTCTGTTGAGTTTCATGAGTAAACGAATGAATGGTCTTCGAAAGAAGGTACTGCGTCTCACGGTACTCGCCACCCCTTCCCTTCGCGCACAAACACAGATGGCGTCCGCAGTTAAGAGAAATTCTGTCAAGAAAAAAGGCTCAGATTTGTTCGAAAAATATAAAAAAGGGCTAAGAAACATCGCTCAATCTCGGCCACAACAAAAGAAACGCCCCAATAAGAAACGTGATGGTGCGATACCCCCATGACATCAGAAATCTGCGGTGCTCCCAACCCCCTCCCAAGCTGAACAGAAGTGCATTTTTTTCGCAGGGGGCAGTCCCCCCCCCCCCCCCCCNCCCCCCCCCCCCTGCCCCCCCGCGCCCCTTCTGTTCACAGTGAGTGCTGTACTGTAGTACTGCCAGACATCGCGGACAACCATATGCTCTCCGCTGTTGTACGCATTTGATGGCACTCTCCACCACCTCTGTTGGGGGCTTGATAATGTGGATTGTCCTCAGATCTAAAGACAGACAAAATAAAATACGAAGTATTTGTTGTAGTCTAAGGAATAAGAGAATCGGGAGGATGCGACAGTCCAATGGAAGAAGAAATGCCATTTACGAAATGGATTACTTGGGCCGGTACTTCGACCCCAAAAAAGGGATTGGTGAGGATCGAACCGATTTTGACGCTTAACTGCGGGCGCTATCTGCAGGATCGAACGTCCTCCAAGCGAGAGATGACCTCGCCCTCGGTGAGGGACGAGGTTACGCACGACTCTTTTTTTGGTGGCATCAGATGGACCGCGGGTAGATGGGAGGAATCCATCCATACCAACACCCAGTTGCAGCTGCAGCAGCGGACCGCTCGCTACTTCTGCTGTCTGTGCGTCGCTACTTCTGCACTCACTGTTGTGCTTGGTTCGTGCAAAGAGCGGCCCGTAGGCCCGCACACCTGCGTTGCAGCCCCTTGAAAATCAAAAAAAGATGCCGACAAAAAATATGAGGTACCCCCCACGAATCTACGGTCCCCCTTGCGGTCTCTCGCAAGGGCACCAGACCGGTTGAGCATCAGCACCAGCACCGTGCTCTACACAGAGCGAATGGATCACGGCCAAATTGAACGGACGTCTGGAACACACTGGAAACTACACCGGTGCGTGCTTTTTTTTGGTTGGTTTCGCCCGTAGACTCGCTTTCCTCAGATGCCTCCAACCCGATCGAGGCAAGCTCGCGTAGCCAGGCCGCGTTCACGATGCCTACCTTCGCAGTGCTGTCGCGGTCTGAAACTTGTTCCAAGAGACCCAATACTCCGTGCATGTAGGCATTAAAAAGCGCAGATGGCTAAAAGTTGGTAGGTATTGATGTCGCAGTTGGCGACGACGCCACCGCTTCCAACTCGAGGGAAAATGCGGCGGAACCCCGAATTGTACTGATATTAGTGAAGGAAACCCATCTCCGAGCAGATCTCGTCCTCGGTGTGGCAATGAGCATGCACCACCGGCGATCAGCCAGCACTCACTCAGCTCAAGGCTGCAGCTGCAATGCAGCAGTAGGTGATCTTGTGTACCTGTACAACTAGTCAAGCGCACCGATGTTCCGTGTTATTGCATGATGTTGTTGCGCCAGGAAACATCATGGAAGGACGGCCCACCAGCAGCACCAGCAAGACGTGCGACGCGTGTCTTCGAGAAGACGACGAAGCAGGGTATCGGCAGCTGAGGCCAAGGACCATGAGCATGTTGCGGGCTTTCGTTCGTAATGCTGGACTGGCGGAGAAGTTCCCCGGCGTGATGCCTCTTGGTGTCGGTATAGATTCCTTGGTTCTATGCAAACGTGCTGAATGTGTTTTGAAGCAATACGACAAGCATATGTCGGACTTGTGTCACGACCGAGCGCGTAAGAAAGAGAAACGCAACCGTAGCGAAGCTGCAACTTGGACTTCCGCACCTGAGCCCGCAGTGCATCTGAAACGGCGACACTTGGACCGCTACTGTACATCGATCGTGGCGGTGGAGGCGTTGCTTGATGCTGTCAACGTCAGCGGCAGGGTGTTGGATATGTGTGGGGGGCCGGATGATGCCGTGGCACGGAGACTTCGAGACACGTGTGAGGTGGTAACGAACGACGTGAGTAGCAGGTGCTTTTTTGTAGTTTTAAGGACTGAGGATGGTGCTCGTAAGAATACATTTTTACTTTTCTACGTAGACGAACGCGGAAATATGCGACCGTGAGTTTGCAGCTGTGATGGCATTTTGCCAACGGCGTTTTTAGCACGAATCTATCACGTGTATTTTTTGCTGGTGTTGCAGTTTTGGTCTATCAAAATCAACAAGTACGGATGGGCACTCAACAGCAGGGATATGGGGGTACTCGGAGAACAGAGGCAGAGGACCTATGTTGCAACCCTATCGCGAGCAGTATGGCCTTTTTATCTTGACCGTCGATCCTCTCTCCCGAAAGCTTGATATGCGGCCTCCTTGGCCCTTTTTTTTGTTGCAGGTTGTCACCTGTGTGTGATAAAGGCTTACCCCATTAGACTACGAAGTCAGCGGCTGACTTAGTAGTCTAGACTACTGGGGTAAGCCTTTCTCACACAAAGGATACACGCACAGGTTCGAATCCCGGGCTGATCACTTTACGAAAAGCACCATAGCTCTGTTCTCGGCAGCGCCTGGCGAGGGGTCCGTCCCCGGAGATTTCTACTCACAGCCCGGGGTTCTACGAGCCGAGAGTGTATCTTTTGATAGTTAAAGGCGTACCCATTAGACTACTCAGTCAGCGCTGACTAAGTAGTCTAATGGGTAAGCCTTTACTAACAACCTGATGCTCGGCGTGCCCCGGACACTAGCCTCGACGCAAGCAAGAGTACTTTCGCGGCGGATTTCCTGGCAGACGGGTTTGAACAGCAACCTGAATGGGTGGTGACAAGCCCCCCCTACAAGGGGGCTGTCAAATTTGGGAAGGCGGCTCTATCTGTAGCCAAACATGGTGTGACGCTCAAACTACCCCTTTCCTTTCTGGAGCCTTGTGTAGATCGGGCAGACTGGCTGGAGGCAAACCCCCCGACTGTTTGCGTGTTTTTAAGGAGGGCCAGCTACACGCCTGAGCACATAATGATGGGGGAATTTTGGGGGGTATGGTACTGCACGGGTGGTGACCGAACGGCGGTGGGTGGTACAAAGCTTGTGTTCCGTGCTTGATGTTGAACACGGTTGGGATGTTGCAATGTCTGTGGCCTGGTTGAAGAGGGGCGCTGGACATTTGATTTTGCTTGCCGATGCAGCAACACTGGAAGGAGAGGCGCATTCCATATGCCCTCCAAGCACGGGTACAGTTTAGCTCGCTTTGCTCATGGTGAAACCGGTGGGTGGTGTTGAGGTTGGCGCAAGGCAGAGGGTATTGCTTGCACGGTGTCGTGTTGGAGTGGACTTGTCGGTAAGAACAGGAGATGATTTCGTCTCTGTCCTTTCGCGTACGGTGTAGAGGACAATCGGACAATCGTCATACGTCCTTCTTTTCGCGTTCCCCGATCCCCAGCTCGAATTTACGTATTTTCTTCAGGACGAATGCCCTTGTAGTCCGGAGACG